TGGCCGGCCATTAAGGTCACCTGACCCTTTTGACCCCTTTCTTCCGGGCTAATGTTGAGCCTCTTGGACCTTTTTTCTTGAACTTTGAACCACATATTTGTGTTGTACACACATGGGAGGACACCATCATGTGGTGGCCGGCCACTAAACCAACTTGCCGGCCACCCCCCCTAGCCGGCCGGCTAGGGGTCAAAAGGGTCAACTTGAAATAGTGGCCGGCCACCATATAATGGTGTCCTCCATGCCTCCTCATCACAACCCTGTGGTTCGAATTTGGAAATTCTAAAACAGGAGAGAGAACAGGCCAATTTTAGGAGGGGTTCGAAAGGGTCAAAAGGAAATAGTGGCCGGCCATATGATATTAGGATCCTCCCATGTGTGTACAACACAAATATGTGGTTCAAAGTTCAAGAAAAAGGGCCCAGGTTGTTCAACATTGGCTCGGAAGGAGGAGTTCAAAAGGATCAATTGGATTTTCTGGCCGGCCATGAACTTTTAGGGTCCTCCCATGTGTGTACATCACAAATATGTGGTTTGGGGTTGAAGAAAGTAGCTCCAAGGTGTTCAACATTGGCTCGGAAGTGCGAAAGGCGGGTGTCGGAGGGCGAAAATGGACTATAACTGGTTGCCAAGATAATTGCTAGCCTCCCACCCTCCAGTGACCTCCCTGGTGATAAAACAGAGGCACTTGCCAAAAATGAACGAAAAACAATGCAAAACGAATGCTCGGGGGCCAAAACACGCAGTTCGGGGTCCTGAAAATGGGCTGCCAAGCACCGAAAGCGGCGTTCGGCCACGAAGTGGGTTTCTTGGGCCCCAGTGTCCCTTGAAAGGGAGAAAATAAGATGTATGCCAAAATTTAGAGTAAACGGAGATTGTTAAGCGGTCCCGAACCGAGGCACACGGTCAATGGTCCCGAAAAACCGGAAACCGGACTCCGAAATGGGCAAAATGGCCTGCGGCCACAAAATGTAGCCCACAGCCACTGAGAGATGGTCTACTGGACCTCTCCCTCCCCTCAAGAAAAGAAACAGAGAAAACCGAGTCTGGTTCGCAAACCGAGGCAAGGCACAGAAGAGGGTTCGGAAGTCCGGAGGCAGGGCTCGCAGCCAAGACTCTGAAACTTCTGAACAAGCACATTATGCAATATCACCAAGTGCTCAACTGGTGACGTCTGAGTCTCAAGGTCGGTCAAAAATGGGGTGTCTACACTCTGTCCATATGATGAACCACGTGATTATATGTAATAGTCTTCTTTGACATCAACATGGACACAAGATAGGATTATTGCATTTTTTGTGCAAAAAACCTGCTTATACGTAACGTCAAACCTATACTTCCCACTGCTTTTTGAATACAAAAGCAACTATCAGGCCCGGTCCTGAGATTTTCAGAGCCCAAAGCCGATAATCAACTACTAAATTTATGGGGCCCATCACATTTTTTTTTATTGAATGAAAAAAAAATTGAAGGTAAAGGATAAAATATTTGTATTAAAATCACAAAAAATACTTAGAAATGTTTTTTAAATTAATTGAATAGAAACAAAAAAAAAAATTACGTGTGCTTGCTGTGCTGAGATCAAAATATTTTTTTAAATCAAAATTCAAAACAAGAGCACCACCACTTAACAAAACACAAAACTTTTAAATTATATGATGTGAACTATTAAACTTAAATAAATTATTCTTAATGATGTAAATATCAATATTATAATAGCAATTAATTGTGCAAAAGACAAGATAAATATTTAATTAATTGAATAGAAAAAAAAATAAATAAATAAAAAATTTACCTGTTTGCTGCTGCTCCGTCCCTATGCTGCAGGCTACATCAAACAAATGTAGGGAATGTTGGATTAATAGAAGATAGGGTTAGGAATTAGAAAAAATGGGCCTTTCAAATGGTTGGGCTGGGCCTTAACCATTGGCCTTTTAATGGGTCAAAAAAATTAAGTTAGTTTGGACTTAAAACATACCTAATATATAATACTAACTTATAATAGGAGGGGTCCCTATTTTGAGCCTATTTTAAGGGGCCCTAAGCCATGGCCTTGTGGGCCTATGGCCAGGGCCGGGCCTGGCAACTATCAATAAATAAGCAAAGAAGTTTTTCATTTTCCATCTTGCTGGGTTATCTACCCCGACAATGATAGCCATCAATGGAATTAACTTTGTCTTTGCAAAGAAACCTGCATAACTTCTGTACCACAATACTTTGTAAAAATACAAAAAAATAAAAGTAATAGTATACAAAACATGATAATTATTACTAATAATGACAACTGAAACTAATAAATTCTGGTTTGCATTTTGTTCACATGAAACAACAATACTAAAAATTAAATATAATCACACATTTTAACTATCAAATCCAATACCATAGGAATTCTAATATTGAACAAGTAAAGTATTTACTTTAAATGAAAGTTATAAGCAAACATAGTTTTCATACCAATTATGAACTTATCTGATGTTCAATTATAAGCATGGTCCTCAAACAAAAATCACAAGCAAAGAAGTAAGACATACCTTTGCCAATAATAAATTGAAGCAAACTATTTTATCACTTTGATCGTAATTTGACGGTCAAACACCAAATTGGAATTAAAAGTCAATTTGTTAATTGTTTCTAATATTTTCAAATAAATATTAATCCTATCCATCTCTTCGTAATATCGTCTTAAGATTGTTAGTGCAAAATTGGTTAATGTGATGGAAAGAGATAAAACATAAAATAATTAGTATTGCTTCAAAACGCGTTACAACGTCATTTTCCTTAAGACGATATTCGTCCCCACCAATTCTGTCGAATATGTTGTGCACCGAGTTACTCGCGAATCCGCCTCCAGATTACAATGAAGCATAGTCTAAAGACTGATGTCTGACTACGTTATGCATGAACGAAATTAGATCCCGAATACTTTCGGATTTTTCTAATCCACCAAATATGGAGGAAAATAACAATATGAATGTTAGAAATTCCATGGATTTCATATAGATGATTTCTATCTAATTTCCAACCCATCCTGCCTTTATATAGGCATGGGTTTGTGTCCCTTAGACTAAAAGTCGTGTCCTTTTAATTCAAAAGTGACACCCTTTAAATCTAAGAGTCATGTCTTTTGGTTTAAATCCAATAGTAACACCTTATGGTTTAAATTCAAAAAAACACACCTTTTTGTTTAAACTCAATGGTTACACTCTTTGGTTTAAACCCAAAAGTCACATCTCTTTAATCATTCATATAACTATATTATATATTTAAATATATATATATATATATAAATATATTATGAAAATGTTCTAACACATAATTTTTGTAAGCTTTAAGAGAACTCTTAAGATGGGATTTTTTATATTAAATGTTGAGTAAATTCTGTGATTTTGAATTCACGAGTTAAGTGGGTTGGATAGATTGAAATTAAAATTGAATATATAGGCTGAGAAAGAGTAGCTTACAAGAAAGTTAACTATTGTAGTGTACAATATATGGTAATATAAATATATATAGCTAACACCCCCCCCCCTCAAGGTCTAGGTGGTAATGCAGATATCAACTTGAGCTTGAAAAGTAAAGCAGAAAAGCGTCCTGGAGGATGAGCCTTGGTGAAGATGTTGGCTATTTGATCAGCAAAGATAACAAAGATAAGACGAATAGTGTCACTAGTAACATGTTGTTGTATGAAGTGACAATCAATTTCAATATGATTTGTGTGATCATGGAAGACATCATTATGGGCAATTTGAATAGTACTCTGATTGTCACAATAGAGGTTAATCACAGCAGAATGAGAAACCCCCGTATCAAAAAGAAGCTAGCGAAGCCACACCAGCTCTTGAGTAGTGTCAGCAAGAGCACGATACTCGGCCTCAATACTAGAACGAGCAACAAGAGTTTGCTTCTTGCTATGCCAGACAATGAGAGAGTCACCTAAGAAGAAGCAAAATCCTGTAGTAGAATGGCGGTTAGTAGGATCCCCTGTCCAATTTGCATCAGAAAAGAAGTGTAACTATAGAGAAGAGTGTGCTGAGTAGTGAAGATCATGAAACAAAGTTCCTTTGAGATAGCGCAAAATGCAAACTAGAGCATCATAGTGCGGAAAGCGAGGAGCAGCCATGAACTAACTGACAATGTGAATATCATAGGCAATGTCTGGACGAGTAAACGTGAGATAGACAAGACTGCCAACTAGTTGATGATGTATAGTAGTACTAGACAACAAGTGATCGTCAAGAGGTGTGAAACGAGTCTGAGGATTAACTGGAATAGGAGCAATCTTGCAATTGGTAAGACCAGTACGAGCCAAGAGATCAGAGGTGTACTTGGCCTGGGTGAGAAAGTAACCAGAAGGATTATGAGAAATTTCCAAGCCGAGGAAGTAACTAAGCAAACCCAAATCTTTCATCTCAAACTAGTGATTGAGGAACTGTTTCAGACTAGAGATACCCACTTTGTCATCCCCGGTGATGATCATATCATCCACATAGAGAAAAAGAAGAAGAATAATACTATGCTATGTCTTACGTATAAACATAGTAGAATCATAGGCACTGGAGGAGAATCCAAAGTCACGAATGGTAGAACTAAACTTGGCAAACCAGGCATAGGGAGCTTGTTTCAAACCATACAAAGCACGACGAAGTTTACAGACCTTGGTGGACGGAACTAAGGAACTAGGAGGATGCTGCATATAAAATTCCTTAGTGAGATCACCATTGAGAAAGGCGTTCTTGACATCCATCTGACAAAGACTCCAATGGTGAGCAGCAACAACAACAAGTAGACTGCGAATTGAAGTAAGATGAGCAACATAACCCAATGTTTCATCGTAATCAATCCCATATTCTTGAGTAAACCCTCTGGGCAACAAGATGAGCTTTATAATGGTCAATGGAACCATTAGGGTGGGTTTTGATCTTGTAAGCTCTTAGTTTTGAAGTTTTTTAATGCATAAGAGTTTGGGTGGAAGGTCAACTACATCCCAGGTATGAGTTTTATCTAAAGTTTGCAATTCATCACTCATAACTTGTTGCCAAAGAGGGTTAGAACAAGCTTCTCGATAGGAAGTAGGTACATGAGAATAAAAAGTAGTGGAACCAACAATGAAATCATGAAGAAGGACAAAAGGTTGTGTTACCCGAGTAAAATGATGAAAAGGTACCTTTAGTGCAGAAGATGATGTAGTGGAATCAAGGGATGTATGAGGCTCACCGGGAGAGGAAATGATGATAGGACTAGGAGGTGGAGCACGAGCAGGTACTGAAGCCAGCTCAAAATCAGGGAGTGGAGTAGTAGGACCAGGAGTTGGAGCAGAATCCTTAAGATGGGCCAGAGTCATCATGTCAGAAGTAATGTTTGTAGCAAATTCATCAAACAAAAGAGAAGGATCTGTAAATAACTGTGTAATGGGAGGAGTGGACAAAAGAAACTTAGATATAAAGGAGAACATTTTGTGTTCCCAAAATACCACATGACGAGAGACACGAAGATGACAAGAAAGAGGATCCCAACAACGATAACCTTTATGTTTAATCCCATACGCTAAGAAGCAACACAAACGAGCACGATGTTCTAATTTGGTAAGCTCATGTTGTTGACAAAAAACAAAACAAGCACATCCAAACACAAGAAGACCAGTATAGGTATGAGGTGTACCATACAAACGTTCATATGCGGTTTGATTGTTGATGGTAAGAGAAGGTAAACGGTTGATAGTATAGACTGTTGTGAGAGCAGCTTCTCTCCCAAAAATGTTCAGGACAAAAATAAATATTAAAAGAGCACGAACAATGTCTAGGATATGGCGATATTTACGCTCAACACAACTATGGCAACCCCAATTATTCTGATTTAATTTGGAATTTATGGGAATTATTCAGTTTGATTTGTGTATGATTTGATTAAGGATATATTTTGGAATTAAAAATTGAAAGCCTAATGGGACAAGAAGGTGAAATTGACAAGTTGAATCAATTTAATTTTGAGTATCAGACTATATGAGAATTTAATTAAATATTCGATTCTGTTTAAAAAATTGAGATTTGACTAATTAGGTTCGAATTGGAATTAATTAAGCTAATTTTATTATGAGGATTGAGAATTGTGATTGTTCTGCATTAAATTTATTTGTAAGGTGTCTAATTCTATATGTAATTTATTGATGGGAATTTTGAGCCTGATTAGAAATTGAAGGCCTTAAAGATTTAAGAAACCAAAATTGATGATGGAAATAAGTTTAATTTGGTATTTGGAACCTTTTGGAAGTCTGATCAAAAATTCGATTCAGATTGATAAATTTAAAAATAATTAATTGGGCCTTAATAGAAGTCAAATTAGACTGATTAAATTATGTGGGCTTTATGATTAGTTATTATTAATTTAATTATGTGCTAATTGAGATTTATTAAGACTAAGTGTTACTTAATTAAGCTAATCTTAATCATAAATTGAATTATGGAAGAATCTAGAATTGAGAGTGTATATGGTGGTGGGTGTACTAAGCAAATCTGTGTATGTGTGTGCCTGTGAGTGATGTGTTGGAATTCAAGGATGAGTGCATGTGTACAATATGAAGAGTGGAGAGTGTGTGTGTGTGTGTGTGTGTGTGTGTGTGTGTTGTATTGATTTCATTAAGTGAAGAAGTGGGTTCATTTACAAAAGAAACCGAGAGAGAGAGAGAGAGAGAGTTGAAGTCGAAAACAAAGGAAATGTGAGAGTGCTGGAAATTTGGGAATGAGAAAGGATGAAGACTTGAGTTCAAGTCCAAGAGAAAGAAGAAAAAGAAAAGTGTAAAGAACAGACTCAAAGTTCAACAAGAAATTCAACAAATCAAGACTATAGGTAAGAAATTCTAACCTAATGTTTATAGACAATCTCTTCAACACCTAAATTTATGAGGTAATTAAGTTTAAATACATATAATATGAAGGAATCAAGGAAAAGAATGAAGAAAATTAAGTAAATTCAAGAATTAAGGAATTGATTTAGAAATTCAACTTTTGAGTATAATTTTAGTTACCTTTGATGAATTTGAGTTAATCAATTCCATATTTTGAAAAGAAGGAGGAAAAGTTTTGTAAACATCAAAATCCATGAAAATCTAAACTTAACCTTGAAGATAAATGGGGTTTTGATTTGTTTTGAAAGATGTTAATCCTAACCCATGCATGTAATGTAATTTAGGAATTTTTATTCAATTTAAGCATATTATTTTTGAGTTTGGAATTATATTAATGAAATTAGAACAAAAATGGGTTTTGAGCAAGAATTGAGCTACATGCATGTACATGAAAAATGATCGTAATTTCTTCATTATGATTTTAGTCTTGAAGTTCTTTTATGCATAAGAGTTTACATCTTGCATGTTTTCAAGAAAGTCCATGGATTTACATCTCCAATTTCATGTTTGTTTTTTTAAAGAAAAAAGAATTTGAGAAATCTTTGCATACATGAGGTTTTAACTCAAGTTTGACAAATTTAATGAAGTTTTGAAACTGATTTTTTAGAAAAGGGTCATGTATTAGTATTTTTCAAAATGTTTTCATGTTGCCAAACAAGCTATGCATGAGCCTAAGTTTTGGAATAAAGTTTGGAAGCTCAAACTACAATTTTGAAACTCAAAAAATTTACAGCCCACTCGAGCGACCAATCGGCGGCTCGAGTGAACATTACAAGATTTCAGTATTTTTACGGACAATATAGTCCACTTGAGCGACCAAGTGGTGGCTCGAGCGGTCAAGCTATTTTTAGCATATCTTGAAAAAACTACACTTTGCTCATATTTCGATCTCATCTCTTCCGAAGCATTCTTAGGCAAGAATTATGACTCAATGAAGATTAATAAGCTAACAATCAACATAACTTAGTTGGTTAAGATATAAGTCATTGATTTAATAATAATTGATTGAGATACCAAATAAGCAACCTGTCTATTTGGAGACTTAGTAATGAAAGAATATGTGAAATGAGAATCCGATTTATTTGAATAAAGAAAGAATAAGGGTAGTAGAACTTCAGATTATTTAGACAAAAAAAGACAAGAGAAGTCAAGTTTGATAAAGGAATTGATATTGTGTTCCAAAGTGTATATGTCATGTGTTTGTGTAGGTCACGTGCTATCATCTGCCTGATCTGTAAGATCTGTCTAATCTGTCTGACCTGCTTCTGGAGCTATCTATGAGTAACAACTCTGTAAAGCTATGTTTGACTATAAGTATTTTATGATTGAAATGATATGATTTGTTTTCTAAAATGTGATTTTATGAATCATGAATGAACATCCATTTTTTTGAAATGTATTTGTGACATCCTTAGTTTATGTGGCCCTCGCCTAGGGAAAACAATACCGTGGCTTATATTCATGTGGCCCTCGCTCGAGGAAAACAATACTGTGGCTTATGTTCATGTGGCCCTTGCTTGGGGAAAACAATACCATGACCTATGTTCACGTGACCCTCGCCTGGGGGATGCAATACCATGGCTTTTTGTGCACAAAGATGTTGACCTTTATGGTCGTCAGTACTGACTATGCATGTGGGTCTTTATGACCAATCTGATATGTTAGCTAATGGATGTACCACATATAAATGCTTACAAATCTGAATATATATATATATATATATGAATCTGTTTTTGATTTGAGATCTGAATATGTATAAGAATATGTTTCTGATCTGAATTTTGATTTCTGGATCTTTTGTGGGACATCATTCATTAAAACCTTTACTTTATTGTTATTTACTGGGCTCCAGCTCACTGTTTATATATATGTATATAGGTGATTAGGCGTGTGACCAGGCCTACAGCTTCTACCTGAAAATTTGTCTTTGTCAACCAACCCATGTGCCACCTATGGAAGTTCGGATATGTCAAATGGTCAAGGCTATGTGATTAAAGTTTAAGATTTGTTTATTATGTAAATAGGGTTAAGACCCTTTTTGTCTTATCTATATAGATGTGATGTTGTAAGGGTGATGGATGACATATGTATATAACGTTTAAAATTTTTCTGTCTCATGTAAGTCTGTGCAGCTCAATGGACATTGTATATTTGTTATTTGCTTCTGCTAGCCCCTAATAATTTGATTTTTGATTAAGAGGCCTTCGGTAATCTACGGATTACTGGCCAGTTACGATGCTAAACCTATAAAGGCGGGTTTGGGTCGTGACGGAGTGGTATCAGAGAACGAGTTAATATCTCATACACGCATCCACTGAGCATTAGAATATTTAGAATGGATTTAAGTTTCATTCATCTAGAAAATAAATATGGAGTTGTGCATTCAGAAATATGTATATATGTTTGTGTAATGTGTTTAAGTATTGGAACTAAGAATTAAGAGCTACTATGAAATTTTGATAATTATAAGGAAACGGGTAAGTGTTTAATGAGTTTAGCAATGAGGC